AAATAGCACAAAAGTAAAATAAAACAAGCGACTATAAGATACCCGTTACTGTTTTACACAATTTTAAAATATTCATTTTGCTAGTTGAAATTACCCAAGCGGCACCTATTGTCGGAGAAAGCATGTCGAGTAACTGATATTGACGTCACTGCCCATGTGAGGCCTTATAACCTAAATTTTTTCATAGGTAGCGAAATAATGTTCCGATTTGAAAAATCTTTCGATAGATATTAACAGAAATAAGTTACACAAGGTCAAACGAAGGCATTCATAATATTATTATAGACGCCACAGTGTTCCGCGTTTGGTAGTCGTTAGAGTGGGCGTGGCCGAATAAAAACTTGTGGAAAGTTGCAGTGGCAACCCTAAAATACGTATTCTTAATCCTTTCTATCTCTTTTAGTTCCCGAGATTTTTGCATTTTTGGGTTTTGTGGGCTTTAGGGTGGCCGTGGCTAGATGGAAAAAAAACAATTCGCATTTGGGGCTTCATAAAAATCTACATGTTTAATCCGAACTTTCTATTACTTATAGTTACCGAGACATCAGGTTTTCTTGAAAATGCGAAAACCGTCTTTTAAGACTGGTGCGCGCATAAATGGGTGTGGTCAGATAATAGTACCACTTAAAGATGCGCTGGCATCCAAAGTTTATACATACTGAATTTCAACTTTCTAGCTCTAATAGTTCCCGAGATTTTAGCGATTTAAGTATTTCGCGATTTGTGGGCGTTAGCGTGGGCGTGGCAGGATGCTGTAATAAGCTGGCGTTGTCCCGGGACCTGAAGAATCTCCATGCTTAATCTCATGTGTGCTTAGTTCCTGAGATCTCAGCGTTCATACGGACGGACGGACGGACGGACAGACGGACATGGCTCAATTGACTTCGCTATTGATCTTGCTCAAGACTTTAAAGGGTCGGAAACGCTTCCTTCTATCTGTTACATACTTTTCAACGAATCTAGTATACCGTTTTACTCTACGAGTAACGGGTATAAAAATATGTTAGAATACAGCAACTGTGGTAGTTGTTAATATTTGTTTGCAATAAATGGTTCATGCAAACAGATAACAATAAATGCACTGCACGACGCGGAATCGAAAGACGAATTTTTCAAATAGATAAACGTTTGTAAAAGAAGTAGCAAAAACGAGGTGATTCGGGAATAAATTCAGAGATTAAATCGCTCGAGAACACGCAAAAGCCAAAAACACAACCGTTCGCTTTGAAAGAGAATTGAAGTTTGAAGTCATCCAGATCACCTTTCAAAAGCTGGACCCTGTCACAAAGGCGAAGTGGGACGACTCTCTCTATGGGGATCTATGACTCAGTTATTGGAATGAATACACTTGAGACTGTTTAATTAGCCTTAGCTCCGTATCTGCCAGCAAATTCAGTGAGCCGACGTAGACCGTTTAATAATCGTTCGTGCGTGATCCATAATGGGCCGCCGGCTCTGTGTGCCCTGTGAGGTATCCTAGCACATGCTGTGCCTTCTTGCTTAAGGTCATTCGCCTTGTCAGTTGACGAACGATACGATGAAGTCTGCCGTCTTGCCCTCTGCTTCGTTTGTCTCAAGTCCGGGCACTTAGCCCGTGGATGCTCATCCTCACGCTGCCCAACGTGTAATCGCCGACATCATGCCCTGTTATATCCTTGCGAGCAATGACGTAACACTGCTTCCGTTCGCGCTTTCGGCTTGGATCCTGCCAATAAGGCTGGACTTACGACCTCTCAGGCTCCGCCAGCTTACGCGCTTGTGACAATGGATCGCCACGCTGAAGCAGTGTTCTTGCCTGCCGCCAACATTCTCGTTCGTGGCCTATCAGGAGACTTTCTTCCCTCATCACAGCCAACTTCAGCTTTATCGGTTCGAATGCTCTCTAGCGGTGACTGGCCTTGGAGACACTTGAAGAACTTGAATTCTCTACGGATGAAGCATCGGCTAATGTTTGCTTGAAGTCTCGCCTATCGACGTATTCGGAATACATTGAGGTAGTCGTGGCGTCTCATATTGCAGAGTGTTAACCTGGTCTGAATATAGATGTCTCCAACTGGAAGGTTCCAGCAAATGTGGATCTGGCAGTTCCGAAATTCCACAGATTCTACTCTTAGTTGGGAAAATAAAACAAGGATACGGTTTGCGTCCTATGCAAAATTCGTGCTTTGGATAGGTAGTTTCTGGAGATGGTTGTCCCCCAGGGAAACCTTATGTGGCTGCTTCATCAGAGGTCTCCAGCCCCTTGAGCTCCGCATGCCGCCTGCCTTCGGAGACGGAGCTGCACAACCTGAACGATCGTCTGGCCACCTATATTGATCGTTTGTGTAACTTGGAGACAGAGAATTCCCACCTCAGCATCGAGGTGCAGATCACCAGGGACAAGGTCACCCGCGGGACGACCAATATCAAGAACATGTTTGAGGCAGAGCTGCTGGAGTCGCGTAGTTTTCTGGATGATACGGCCAGGGATTGTGCCCGTGGCGAGATCGATAGCAAGCCTCCGTGGGAGGAGAACGAGGATCTGAAGAACTGTCTGGACAAGAAAATTAAGGAGTGCAGCACTGCTGAGGGAAATGCCCGCTTGTACGAGTCGCGTTTCAATGAGCTGAGCAAATTCAACCTGGTCAATGCCGATCGGAAGAAGATTACTGATGAACTGAACAATATGACCAAGGAGTTGGATCGTCTGCGCAAGCAGTTTGAAGAAACGCGCAAGGCTCTAGAGCAGGAGACACTGTCGCGCTTTGACTTGGAAAGTACCTTTCAGAGCCTTCGGGAGGAGCTGTCATTCAAGGATCAGAACATTTCACAGAAGGTCAATGAGTCGCGGGGCATCCGCCAGACAGAGTACAGCGACATCATTGATGCGAAGTTAAAGAAGTTGCTACAGGAGCTGCGCGCCCAGTATGAGGATAAAGTCCGTCGTCTTCAAGAGGCCGCAGCACTCACATCCAATTCTATGCACAGGTTCAGCGGAGAATTGCGCTCGACTCTTGTTCATATTGGCAGTCTAAATGATTCAAGATCTTGAGCACATTGTGAGGTAGCCCTCAGGTACATATATGTTTAGTTAAGAGTAGTCAGTAAGCTAGGATTTAGGTTAGATTAAGGATTAATTTAAGACCCACGGAGGGCACTTAGATTTAGGTACATCATTAAAGACCAACGGAGGGCACTTAGATTTAGGTACATCAGTTAAGACCCGCGGAGGGCATTTAGATTAACGCTAATTAGGACATAAGTTATCTATATAGGTAAAGCACAGATTTCATCACAAACACCGCCTCAAACACATCAACATCACACTTTCCTAAACTATTATCGGCAGAGCCAACACCGCCTCGAACACATTAACCAAACTATTATCGGCAGAGCCATCATGCCGGCAAAGCCAACACCGCCTCAAACACATCTCACAGCGCAACCGCAACACAGAAAAGCTGTAGCTGCTCTCTACACGTCGACGGCTCACACGGGAGCAGCTGAAAGGACGCTGCCGCGATCGGCGGCAGAGAAAGGCTTCTAGGAACTTCGACTGCTCGCCGATCGAAGTGTCGGTTTGGAGAACTTAACAAGAACAGTCGTAATCACGGAAGGAACAAGGAGCAACAAAAAGGCCCCCGGTAAACCACGTGGCCAGCGGACATGGAGTGGTACGGGTAAGCCGGCCAAGGGCCAACTCCAAAACGTGGGAGGCCAGCGGTGCGGAGGTGTAGGGAACAGCGTAGGGATAGGCTTAGAACATAAGCATGGCATGTGAATGAAACCACTCCGGAATTATTTTCCCCAATCCCGGTCGGCAAGCGGTCTGCGGATGACGGAACCGCATTCCGCTCTTTCTCTCATCCTTTGCCCCTTCCCTCGTAGTTCGGAGCAACGGCACCCGGCTGACGGGCTGGACAACCGTTTCCCGGGTGACGGGATCGGCCGCTCATATCCTCCCTCGTAGTTCGGAGCACCGGCACCCGGATGACGGGGCCGGACGACCGATTCCCGTGTGACGGGATCGGTCGCCCATATCCTTCCTCGTAGCTTGGGCACCGGGACCCGGTTGACGGGGCCGGACAACCGATTCCCGGGTGACGGGATCGGCCGCCCACGAAACCCTGAGTCCTTCCCGAAGCCCACCTCACACACCATCTCGCATCCTTTTCCTGCCTGCCTCAGTACTTTACAAATATTTCTGTGGGGGACCCTGGGCTGACTGAAGCCTATATCCCGTCCAGTGACTAGCATCCTTACAAATGGCGCCCGAACAGGGACCAGGCAGGAAAATGCAAGGATAATTCCACCCTTCGTGGCGTAAAGAACCATCAGGAAAATTATGGTGACTGCTTGATTCCGGCTCACAAGTTCATCTCATCACATCACGGCTGGCCAGCCAACTTAAGCTTTATCGGTCCGAATGCTTGGAGGCACTGAATTCACTACGGATGAAGCATCGGCTAATGTTTGCTTGAAGTCTTGCCTATCCACGTATTCGGTATTCATTGAGACAGTTGTGGCGATTCACATCGCAGAGTGTCAACCTGGTCTAAACATTGATGTCTCCAACTGGAAGGTTCCAGCAAATGTGGATCTGACAGATCCGAAATTTCACAAAGAGCAGCGAGTGGATTTGCTGATTGGAGCCAGCCTATTTTTTGATCTACTCTTAGTTGGGAAGTTAGTTAGTTGGGTGCTTTGGATAGGTAGTTTCTGGAGATGGTTGTCCCCCAGGGAAACCTTATGTGGCTGCTTCTTCAGCGGTCTCCAGCCCCTTGAGCTCCACCTGCCCCTTTCGCCTGGCCTTGGAGATTGAGCTGCAGAACCTGAACGATCCTCTGGCCACCTATAATGATCGTTTGTGTAACTAGGAAACAGAGAATTCCCACCTCAGCATCGAGGTGCAGATCACCAGGGACAAGGTCACCCGCGGGACGACCAATATCAAGAACATGTTCGAGGCTGAGCTGCTGGAGACGCGTAGTTTTCTGGATGATACGGCCAGGGATTGTGCCCGTGGCGAGATCGATAACAAGCCTATGTGGGAGGAGAACGAGGATCTGAAGAACTGTCTGGACAAGAAAATTAAGGAGTGCAGCACTGCTGAGGGAAATGCCCGCTTGTACGAGTCGCATTTCAATGAGCTGAGCAAATTCAACCTGGTCAATGCCGATCGGAAGAAGATTACTGATGAACTGAACAATATGACCAAGGAGTTGGATCGTCTGCGCAAGCAGTTTGAAGACACGCGCAAAGCTCTAGAGCAGGAGACACTGTCGCGCTTTGACTTGGAAAGTACCTTTCAGAGCCTTCGGGAGGAGCTGTCATTCAAGGATCAGAACATTTCACAGAAGGTCAATGAGTCGGGCCGCATCCGCCAGAAAGAGTACAGCGACACAGCGACATAGACGGACGCCTCAGCTCCAAGTATCATGCCAAGTTAAAGCAGTTGCTACAGGAGCTGCGCACCCAGTATGAGGAGTAAATGCGAATTATCGAGTCGCCATACGAGGATAAAGTCCGTCGTCTGTAAGAGGCCGCTGCACTCACATCCAATTCTACGCACAAGTTCAGCGGAGAATTGCGCTCGAGTCGTTTGTATTGGCAGCCCTCAGGCCGCTCCGCCTCAGGTACCAATATGTTTAGTTTAGAGTAGTCGGTCAGCTAGGATTTAGTTGAGATTAAGGATTAATTAAAGACCCACGGAGGGCACTTAGATTTAGGTACATCAGTTAAGACCCACGGAGGGCATTTAGATTGACGTTAATTAGGACATAAGTTATATATAGGTAAAGCACAGATTAAATCACAAACACCGCCTCGAACACATCAACATCACATCAACATCGCCAAACTATTATCGGCAGAGCCATCAAACCGGCAGAGCCAACACCGCCTCGAACACATAAACGTCACACAACGCCAAACTATTATCGGCAGAGCCATCAACCGGCAGACCCAACACCGCCTCGAACACATCAACCAATATATCATCGGCAGAGCTATCATACCGGCAGGGTCAACACCACCTCGAATACATCTCACAGCAGCTGTAGCTGCTCTCTACACGTCGACGGCTCACACGAGAGCAGCGAAAAGGCCGCTGGCGCGATCGACGGCAGAGAAAGGCTTCTAGGAACATCGACTGCTCGCCGATCGAAGTGTCGGTTTGGAGAACTTAACAAGAACAGTCGTAATCACGGAAGGAACAAGGAGCAACAAAACGACCCCCGGTAAGCCACGTGGCCGGCGGACATGGAGTAGTACCGTTAAGCCAAGGGCCAACTCCAAAACGGGGGAGGCCAGCGGTGTGGAGGTGTAGGGAACAGCGTAGGGATAGGCTAAGAAAATAAGCAAGGCATATGAATAAAACAACTGTATTAATACACGAATGCTCAACTCCGGAATCATTCTCCACAATCCCGGTCGGCAAGCGTTCTCCGGATGACGGAACGGCATTCCATGTCATCCGCATTCTTTTTCTGCCTGTCTCAGTACTTTACAAATATTTCTGTAGGGGACCCTGGGCTGACTGAAGTTTATATCCTGGCCCGTGATTAGGATCGTTTCAGATGTCGCCCGAATAGGGATCAGGCAGGAAAATGCAAGGATAATTCCACCCTTCGTAACGTAAAGAACCACCAGGTTACGGACGTCTGTCAGTCTGTCAGTCTGTCAGTCTGTCAGTCTGTCAGTCTGTCAGTCTGTCAGTCTGTCAGTCTGTCAGTCTGTCAGTCTGTCAGTCTGTCAGTCTGTCAGTCTGTCAGTCTGTCAGTCTGTCAGTCTGTCAGTCTGTCAGTCTGTCAGTCTGTCAGTCTGTCAGTCTGTCAGTCTGTCAGTCTGTCAGTCTGTCAGTCTGTCAGTCTGTCAGTCTGTCAGTCTGTCAGTCTGTCAGTCTGTCAGTCTGTCAGTCTGTCAGTCTGTCAGTCTGTCAGTCTGTCAGTCTGTCAGTCTGTCAGTCTGTCAGTCTGTCAGTCTGTCAGTCTGTCAGTCTGTCAGTCTGTCAGTCTGTCAGTCTGTCAGTCTGTCAGTCTGTCAGTCTGTCAGTCTGTCAGTCTGTCAGTCTGTCAGTCTGTCAGTCTGTCAGTCTGTCAGTCTGTCAGTCTGTCAGTCTGTCAGGTCTGTCGGTCTGTCGGTCTGTCTGTCAGTCTGTCAGTCTGTCAGTCTGTCAGTCTGTCAGTCTGTCAGTCTGTCAGTCTGTCAGTCTGTCAGTCTGTCAGTCTGTCAGTCTGTCTGTCTGTCAGTCTGTCAGTCTGTCAGTCTGTCAGTCTGTCAGTCTGTCAGTCTGTCAGTCTGTCAGTCTGTCAGTCTGTCAGTCTGTCAGTCTGTCAGTCTGTCAGTCTGTCAGTCTGTCAGTCTGTCAGTCTGTCAGTCTGTCAGTCTGTCAGTCTGTCAGTCTGTCAGTCTGTCAGTCTGTCAGTCTGTCAGTCTGTCAGTCTGTCAGTCTGTCAGTCTGTCAGTCTGTCAGTCTGTCAGTCTGTCAGTCTGTCAGTCTGTCAGTCTGTCAGTCTGTCAGACTGTCAGTCTGTCAGTCTGTCAGTCTGTCAGTCTGTCAGTCTGTCAGTCTGTCAGTCTGTCAGTCTGTCAGTCTGTCAGTCTGTCAGTCTGTCAGTCTGTCAGTCTGTCAGTCTGTCAGTCTGTCAGTCTGTCAGTCTGTCAGTCTGTCAGTCTGTCAGTCTGTCAGTCTGTCAGTCTGTCAGTCTGTCAGTCTGTCAGTCTGTCAGTCTGTCAGTCTGTCAGTCTGTCAGTCTGTCAGTCTGTCAGTCTGTCAGTCTGTCAGTCTGTCAGTCTGTCAGTCTGTCAGTCTGTCAGTCTGTCAGTCTGTCAGTCTGTCAGTCTGTCAGTCTGTCAGTCTGTCAGTCTGTCAGTCTGTCAGTCTGTCAGTCTGTCAGTCTGTCAGACTGTCAGTCTGTCAGTCTGTCAGTCTGTCAGTCTGTCAGTCTGTCAGTCTGTCAGTCTGTCAGTCTGTCAGTCTGTCAGTCTGTCAGTCTGTCAGTCTGTCAGTCTGTCAGTCTGTCAGTCTGTCAGTCTGTCAGTCTGTCAGTCTGTCAGTCTGTCAGTCTGTCAGTCTGTCAGTCTGTCAGTCTGTCAGTCTGTCAGTCTGTCAGTCTGTCAGTCTGTCAGTCTGTCAGTCTGTCAGTCTGTCAGTCTGTCAGTCTGTCAGTCTGTCAGTCTGTCAGTCTGTCGGTCTGTCAGTCTGTCAGTCTGTCAGTCTGTCAGTCTGTCAGTCTGTCAGTCTGTCAGTCTGTCAGTCTGTCAGTCTGTCAGTCTGTCAGTCTGTCAGTCTGTCAGTCTGTCAGTCTGTCAGTCTGTCAGTCTGTCAGTCTGTCAGTCTGTCAGTCTGTCAGTCTGTCAGTCTGTCAGTCTGTCAGTCTGTCAGTCTGTCAGTCTGTCAGTCTGTCAGTCTGTCAGTCTGTCAGTCTGTCAGTCTGTCAGTCTGTCAGTCTGTCAGTCTGTCAGTCTGTCGGTCTGTCGGTCGGTCTGTCAGTCTGTCAGTCTGTCAGTCTGTCGGTCTGTCAGTCTGTCCAGTCTGTCAGTCTGTCCAGTCTGTCAGTCTGTCAGTCTGTCCAGTCTGTCGGTGTCTGTCCTGTCGGTCTGTCGGGTCTGTCAGTCTGTCAGTCTGTCAGTCTGTCAGTCTGTCAGTCTGTCAGTCTGTCAGTCTGTCAGTCAGTCTGTCCGTCTGTCGGTCTGTCGGTCTGTCAGTCTGTCAGTCTGTCAGTCTGTCGGTCTGTCAGTCTGTCGGTCTGTCCGGTCTGTCAGTCTGTCGGTCTGTCAGTCTGGGTCTGTCAGTCTGTCGGTCTGTCCAGTCTGTCCAGTCTGTCGGTCTGTCCAGTCTGTCAGTCTGTCGGTCTGTCAGTCTGTCGGTCTGTCAGTCTGTCAGTCTGTCGGTCTGTCGGTCTGTCCCGGTCTGTCGGGTCTGTCGGTCTGTCAGTCTGTCAGTCTGTCGGTCACTCGGTCTGTCCGGTCTGTCGGTCTGTCAGTCTGTCGGTCTGTCGGTCTGTCGGTCTGTCAGTCTGTCGGTCTGTCAGTCTGTCGGGTCTGTCGGTCTGTCAGTCTGTCAGTCTGTCAGTCTGTCGGTCTGTCAGTCTGTCAGTCTGTCAGTCTGGTCTGTCGGTCTGTCGGTCTGTCAGTCTGTCCGGTCTGTCCAGTCTGTCGGTCTGTCGGTCGGTCTGTCAGTCTGTCAGTCTGTCAGTCTGTCAGTCTGTCAGTCTGTCAGTCTGTCAGTCTGTCAGTCTGTCAGTCTGTCAGTCTGTCAGTCTGTCAGTCTGTCCGGTCTGTCAGTCTGTCAGTCTGTCAGTCTGTCAGTCTGTCAGTCTGTCAGTCTGTCAGTCTGTCAGTCTGTCAGTCTGTCAGTCTGTCCAGTCTGTCTCTGTCCAGTCTGTCAGTCTGTCGGTCTGTCGGTCTGTCGGTCTGTCCGGTCTGTCGGTCTGTCGGTCTGTCAGTCTGTCGGTCTGTCAGTCTCGTCGATCTGTCGGTCTGTCGGTCTGTCGGTCTGTCAGTCTGTCGGTCTGTCAGTCTGTCCAGTCTGTCAGTCTGTCAGTCTGTCAGGTCTGTCGGTCTGTCGTCTGTCAGTCTGTCAGTCTGTCGGTCTGTCGGTCTGTCAGTCTGTCCAGTCTGTCAGTCTGTCAGGTCTGTCCAGTCTGTCAGTCTGTCAGTCTGTCCATCTGTCAGTCTGTCAGTCTGTCAGTCTGTCAGTCTGTCAGTCTGTCAGTCTGTCAGTCTGTCAGTCTGTCAGTCTGTCAGTCTGTCAGTCTGTCAGTCTGTCAGTCTGTCAGTCTGTCGAGTCTGTCAGTCTGTCCGGTCTGTCGGTCTGTCGGTCTGTCAGTCTGTCAGTCTGTCGGTCTGTCCGTCAGTCTGTCAGTCTGTCGGTCTGTCCGTCTGTCAGTCTGTCAGTCTGTCAGTCCGTCTGTCAGTCTGTCCCAACGGTCTGTCCGGTCTGTCGATCGACGCGATCTGTCGGTCTGTCCAGTCTGTCGGTCTGTCAGTCTGTCGGTCTGTCAGTCTGCCATCGTCTGTCAGTCTGTCCGTCGTCTGTCGGTCTGTCGGTCTTCAGTCTGTCCGGTCTGTCGAGTCTGTCAGTCTGTCTGTCTGCGGTCTGTCCGGTCTGTCGGTCCGGTCTGTCGGTCTGTCGGTCTGTCAGTCTGTCAGTCTGTCCGTCTGTCAGGTCTGTCAGTCTGTCCGGTGTCAGAAAATCTGTCGTCTGTCAGTCTGTCGTCTGTCC